GCAAAATAAACACATTTTACTGAACGCGGCCATTAAAAAAAAAAAAGAAAACGAAATCACGTATTTTTATCCCTGAACATTACGTAGACCAATGAGAGACGAAATCGAATAGAGTGCGATATATCGATATAAATCGAAAGTGTGATATCACTATTTCTTCGCTATTTCTCGCTTAGATAAATAATAAGTAAGTAGATTTTATACGCGAAGTTATCGGCCAACGGCAATATCGTCGAGGAAGTTCCGCGCCGCTTCTACCGACGAGTTTCACAACGTCGCTAACAAACGTACGCAGTTCGACGAAGTTGCTCCAAATCCCGCTGATCAATGTCCTCTCCCTGATATCTGTAACGAGTCCGAATCCCAGCCAACTATGCTATTAATTACTATTAAACGCGAAAGAAAGAAGTCATCCTCAATGTTCACGGCACATTCACGTTTTAACCTCCAAGTCGCGAAATTCAAGTCACACACATATATATGTTCCACATTGGAGTATATATATCTGGTCGGGAGTACCGACAATGAGGTCAGCCAGGCGTCAAACTACTGCTGCCACAAGCGTTATGTGACTTTCGTGTTATTCGGTCTTTACTTGAATAAGAATTTTATCGGCCACTGCTTGCAATCCGAATTTTTAATGTTAAATTAATCGCGCTTGAAATCGAAACGCAGAGAACCGATGAAAAATGGAGAATAATATTTATGCAGTCAAACGTCTCAATCATTAAGTTGCGACACATTTACACGCAAATAAGAAACAGTCGTTTAACGTTTTATATTTAGCAAACGTTATGGGAAAGACGTAATTTTGCACGCCGCGTGCCGAAAAGTAAATAAAAATGCGATAGAAAAGGTAAAAGACGGTGCAAGAGACGTCTTTCGTAAAAAAAAAAAATTTTAATCGATAAGATGTCTCCCGGACGATTTCGTCGATCGTAGCCCCGTGTCTTTCACATAATGATCAAAGATTAATGAAAAGTTCGTAAATGTCATAAAATGTCCGCCTCCGCGAATCGACGCTTAATCATCTGAGTCACTGTTTGAGCGAGAAAGGATGATTTGCAATGCGCGAGATAGAAAAATTCGTACGTTCGAGAGAGCGCAATTGATTGAACTATGCTGAATTAGGAAAAAAAAAAGAAGACGAATACTATATCGATACTCGCGTTCATGTAAAGTGCAAATACACGGTGTTCACTTTGGACTCACAGTTTATGCGAATTTTCGATCGCGAATGCGATTACGGAGAACATAATTGGCGAGGCGCAGCGAGCTCCGATATCATATATACTCCTGTGATATATTTACCAGAAAATACATGCACAGGCGAACGTCAGGCCTAACAAAGAGCGATGATTTTAGCAACGCACGCGTCGAGGGAGCGATTATGGGCGACTATGAACGGCAATGGATAACCGATAATGTTCCGCGAATACCGCGAATTATTTTGCACGCCGACGGCGGGTTGTACATGCGTAAAATAGTAGAAATGAACAACTTACGTTTTAAAGTTGTACGACCAGGGCCATCTGATGAGTCTTGGAACAATGATAAACGCGGTAATAGAAACGCTAACACGATGAGAGATTCGCCCGCGTGCGCAATGGCGTTAAGTCCAGCAGACCGCTCTTCAGTTTTAGATGTTTTCCTTCGGCAGCTACACTCTCTACACCGCCCACGATTTTCTCACTCTGTCTTTCTTTCTCCAATGTCTCTCGTGAAGATTAGTGTAGCTACGAGCACTTTGAGTTGTACTTCGAGCAAGAAAATACCTATCATTACGCAGCGCACTCTGTGTGATCACGTGATCACACGAATGTGAAATGACGGCAATTTCTTGTTTGCGAACTACGCGAAAAACACGATGTATAATAATTCAGCCTCGTCATCATATTAATATTAACAATATATCCTAAAGCATTCAATACATTTCATATTTGAGTGATACAAGAAAAAATAAAACAATTTGTATCAGCACGTTATATCAAGTATACATGTGCTGCGTGAAGCTCACGTGATATGCACGCATAGAATATACATGTGTCCTACTGTAACGTCTCGTGTGAGATTTAGTGATTTGATCACTGATTTAGTGTGAAATTTTTTTGTAAGATTTCCTAAATATTCATTCGGATTAATCGAAAATGTATTGATAGGCAGTCTAATTATTATTGAAGTGTTTACCATTTCGTGACACAAGTTGACACAAATGATGTTTTATCTGGAAAACAATAAAAAATGTTTTATCTGTTACTCACTGACCCAATCAACAAAAAATGATTTAAAATAATTTAAAAAATATTTTTAGAAGCATTTAAAAAACATGTTTAAAAACGTATAATAATAGATTAAGTAACCTTTTTTTTTTTAAAAAAAAACGTATTATTTGAACATTTGAAAAAAGTCCTTTTTTACATTTGAAAAACATTTTTAAAACCAATAAGAATAATGGATTTATGTGTAATTTTTAGAATTCTTATTTTATTCAATTAATATATCATATTATATATAGATCTTTTATACACTTTTAATTGATTTGCTGACTCTTATATGCCCTTCACATCGATCTTCGTATTTTAAGAATAATGGATTAAGTTACCCTTTTTTCATTAAAAAAAACATATATTTTAACATTTGAAAAGAGATTCCTTACACGCATTCTACAATAAGCCATTAGTTATAAATCAGAAGTTAGAAGCTGGAAATTGAGGTCTGTGATTGGTCAATTTCCAGCTTCTAACTTCAGATTTATGACTAATGGCTTATTGTAGAATGCATATTATACATTTAAAAAACGTTTGAAAAACGTCTTTTTTACATTTGAAACAGATTTTTTAACGATCAGCAAACAATGTGTCTATACTGAAAAATATAAGAACTATCAAAATGCTTTAATTTTCATCTGGAATCCAATTTTGGTTTCAAAGTCATTTAATTCATTACTATTTTGTCAGAACATGGATGATAAATCTCACACATTGTTACTCCTCTATTGTTAATTCTTGTGTTGCTTTCGCTTACGAGAAACAGTGTCTAATACTACTCGCTACATAATTAATGTAAAATAAATATTATATTAATGCTAACTATAAATGTTGAATAAATATTTTTATAAATCATTACTACAAATATTATAAATGTAATACAATAAATAATAAATATTAAATTAAATAAATTTTTATATAAATACTAGTTGGATAAATTTTAAATAAATTTTTTTTGTAAATATTATCTTTATTATAAATGAGTAATAAAGATAATGTAAACAGTAAATTAATATTGAACAAATATTAAATAATTTTTTAAATTATTATTGCAGATGAACAATTAAAATAAATATAAATATAAAATTAATAAATATTAAATTAATAATGAAGAAATGATAAATAAATGTTCTTTCAAATTATTATTGCAAATAAATAGTACCGGGTATTTAGAATTTATTGTTTAACCGATAATTATATAGATTGTATTCTTATGTATTATTTTGACATTATGAATCCAAATCCAACACAATATTCAAATTGTTCCATCGCGTCACAATTTTACTATTAACAGAAAATGAATTGATTTTCTGATATTTTTAGAATAATTTTCTGCATGCAGGTTTTTAATATACTATAGCTATAATAGGTAAAAAAATTGCTGTATTGTACATAATTAAATTCACAAGATAGCACAATAGATGTCTATAGATACATATTTAGTAAATCGCGCTAAATATTTTTCGTCGATAAAAAATTATTAATGAAGCAATTTAGATATTGGATTCATTTCAGGATATAGTGATTGCGTCAAACGTTCAAATGCTATTGACAGTGCTGCCGCACTATGTCGATCGCATTGACCAGCGTTTACCGCAATATACATATATATACATATATATAAAACTCGAATATAATCTAATTTATTCTTTTTCTACGTTACTAATCCAGATAAAAGGATTCGATATTAGAATAACCTAATAATTGCTAGTAACTGTTCTAGGCCTTTTACAATAAGCCGCAAGTCAGAAGTTCTAAGCGATCTTAAGGCGTCGTCTACAATACACGGAGTAATGGTTACTGCACACTGGACGCGATGAGCGATGAGCGATATCCAATGAGAGCTTTGCTTTGCGTCGTCACGTGAGAAAAAGCAGAGTTTTTATTGGATATCGCTCGTCGCTCATCGCTCATCGCGTCCAGTGTGCAGTAGCCATAAGAAGTAAGAGTAAGAAAACCAATCACATTCGAATGTGAGAAGAATAATCGACTGTGTTGGTCAATTTCTTACTCTTACTTCTTACTCCGTGTATTGTAGACGAGCCTTAAGTCATAATCGGTGAAGTTGCCAATAGCCAACTAGCACGACTTGGTTAAGGCCCGATTGTTCCACCTTTTGATAAATTTTACCTGTTGGATAAGTAGCAAAATTACCCAATCACATATGCGGATTACCAGATTTACCTCACAGGTAAAATTTACCAAAAGGTGGAACAACCGGCCCTAAGACTGGTTAAGACTTCTGACGTTCTGACTTGCGGCTTATTGTAGAAGGCCTATTTAATTCACCGCGTTAATACTATAAGTGATATATGAAAAATAAAAACATGTCAAATCTGTCGACCAAATGTCATATCATTGCTTCTTGCCGTTTTTCATGTGTCGTTTTAGTGGTGCGGCCACAATAGAAGAAATAAGGAATTAGAAATAAGGAATAAGAATTCCAACCTATCAGAAACCGTGTATTCCGGTGTATCCGATATCTGATAGGTTAAAATCTTTATTCCTTATTCCTAATTCCTTATTCTTTCTATTGTGGCTGCACCTTAATACTTCTTCGGGCACGGTCAGTGCCATAAATGCTTTGAAGCGTTTTTTAATTGGTCAGTTTGTAAAATTCTTTCTTCTAATTGGTCCATCAAACACTTCAAAGCATTTGTAGCGAGACTTTGACCACAGCCTTCGACGAAAGTGATCACGTGATCTTTTTGTCGCTAAAACTGCCAGTTTGAGCGGCTCGTGAAAAGGCATCTTAATAGTTTTATAATAAAGATTATGAATGAAACAGGTCAAAGCGAAGTTACGAGGTGGATAGCCATAACATATGTATATTTCTTGAGAATATCGCAATTTCGTAGTCCGATTTCATAATTGCTATCCTCGACGATATTACAGATTATCTATCAAATAAGGTACGTTTTCATTCAATTCTCATGCTTTTGATTGAATAAAGAATCATATTGGCTATAAATTATTAATTTATGTTATAAGCTAAGAAATTGACCAATCATAATCGAATGTGAGGAAAATAAAGTCGATTATTTTCCTCATTTGACTGTGAATGATTAATTTCTTATAACTTTACGACATAAGTTAACAGTATGGCTAGTATAAATAATTCTTTAGGGCTTCAGCACAAAGATGATCGTCAAACATGAGTCGTAGTCGTATATATAGGTATAATGTTTTGATCAACCTACAATTACAACTTATGTTCCATGACTCACTTACGACTGTCTTTATGTTTAGGCTTTAATTGTTTATACAAAAAAATATTAAATTATATGTATTTAAATATAACTTAGTTATTAGTAGATACTTTAGGGGTATAATTAAAATTTTATTAAATTCTTTGATAGTTTCATACAATAAGGAACTGTGTGATTGAAGTCTTGGGTATTTTAGTGTAAGAAGCATTGATCGGTGAAGGTCTAACGATATTACAGCTTGTCTGTCATGAGGTACGTTTTCATTACAATTCTCATGCTTTTGATTAAATAAAGAATCGTTTATACTGATTGTAAATTGTTAATTTATGTTGTAAGCTATAAGAAATTGACTAATCAATCAAATATGAGGAGAACAAAGTTTATTATTCTCCTCACATTTAACTGTAAATAATTAATTCCTTATAGCTTACAGCATAAGTTAACAATTCATGGCCAGTATTTTTTAGAATCTCAGCACAAAGATGATCATAAATGAATTGTGAAACATAAGTTGTAATTATACTAATTATACTAATTATATAGATCAATACACAATGTTTTGGTCAGCTTACAACTACAACTTACGTTCCATTACTCAATCATGGTTATCTTTATGTTTAGGCCCTAATTGTTTATACAGAAAAGTATTAAATTTATATGTATTTAAATATATAACTTGTAAATACTCTTAGATAATTAAAATGTTATTAAATTTTTTAAATAGTTTTATACAACGAGAAACTGTGGAATTTGACTTCCTGTGTGATTGGAATCTTGGGTATTATTGTATAAAAAGCATTGATCGGTGAAGGCCTAACAGATGAACAAAAGAACCGACACGACAAATGCCAATTTAGAAGCATATGTTGCATTGTAGTGCTTAGTGAGATCCAAAATGCTTTAGACTTGGTAACGCCTGTGAAAATAATTATTTTTTTTGTAATTAAAATAGAAAGGAAATAAGACAATGAGTAAGATTTTAGGAATCTTAAGAGCAAAAGTAATTAGTGGAACTACCATTCCTACTGCAATTGCTTCCAATCCGTCTAATTTAAATGAAATTGAGGAAGAAATTAAAAGATTAGAACAAGAACAAGAAGAATATGATAGACAAGCAATAAATGATTATCAAGAAAAATTGGATGAAGAGGAACGAGAGGCTAAAAGAGATGGGATATATGATGGAGATTTAAAAAAAAGTATTGAAGCAAGAAAAAAAGCCCTAGATGATTATACTGCAATTGCTCCCAATTCAACGTCTGATTTCTACCTCAAATTAAAGGAAGTTGAAGAAGAAGTTCAAAAATTAAAACCAAACCATGAAGAAGGTGATATACAAGCAATTGATTATCAAGCAAAATTACATGAATTGGATGAACTGGAACTAAAGGCCAAAAGAGTTGGAGTATATGATGGAGATTTAAAAGAACATATCAAACAAACAAGACAAAAAATTATAGACTATAATGTAATTACTTCCACTCCATCTAATTTAAGAAGAAAGAAAATTGAAGAAGAAATTAAAAAAATAAAACAAGAACAAAAAGAAAATGAGAGACAAGCAATGATTAATTATCAAGCAAGTTTGCATGAATTGGATGAACTAGAACTCGATGCCAAAAGATATGGACTATATAATGGAGATTTAAAAGAACATATTGAACAAGCAAGAAAATATGTTATACATGGCTATAACAAATTACTTTTATTGATTGCTAAGCAAAATCTAACTTCAGAAATTGGTATTGATGCATTAGAAGCAGAAAATTTTGACAATATAAATACAAGAAATAATTCTGCTGTAAGGATGTCTTTTGATGATCAGCCGGGAACAAGCCGAACACCTGCAAAATGTAGTAGTGCCTTAAAATAGTGCAGTATCTGATGTTGAAACAACAGTAACATTAGAAGAAAATAATATTAATAATCCATTAAACTTTATATTTTTAACTCGAGTATAACAAATAATTTAATAATTAATAAGTATTTAAATTTTTACTAAAACATTTATTATAAAAAGAATACAAATTTCTGTATTATTTTTAAATTTTAATTATTACAATTAGTTATGCTATTTTTATTGACAGTCTTTATTAATATATATGTAGTATAATGTTCCTATAAGATCTAGATAGAAGTTCATAAATGTTCATGCATTAACCTTTTTTTTTTACGAAAGCACAAGAAGAAAAACCTAAAACTGAAAAATTATATATTTTAATATCTTTTTATTGTTACGTAATTCATAGTATAATTGCCGAAGACTGTAAATACAAATTAAGAAACTAATAAATCCTTTTTTTTTATTGTTTCTGAATTTTTTATTTTCAAATTAAAAATATACTTTTCGCATTCGAGTAATTTGTCAAAAATAATTTCATCATGATTTTGCTAATTTTTATTTTTTTGTACACAGTATTGTAATGGCCAGGAAATGGAAGTAACTCGTTACTTGTAACGAAATTGCAAGTTACTTTTTTGGTAACTTACTAGTAACTGCGTTACTTTTTTTCTTTGGTAACTGTAAGAGTAACGAAGTTACATTTTTTTTATAACGGTAACGAATTTTACGGTTACTTTTATCGTTACTTTGCACACGATTGGACACGATACGACACAAGCCACTTACACTGCAAAAAAATTTCGTAAATTTACACATATAATAGATATGAAAATTACATGATTAACCCTGTAAATATAAAAAATGATGCAATTTTACAGAAATTAAGTAATTCCACAAAAATTATGTAAATTTGCTTTTTTGTGTAAATATATCTTATTTTATATGGAAAATTACATAAATAGCAGGATATTTTAAATATTTTCTGTAATTATCCAAATTTAAGTAATATTACATAAGATTACAGTAATTTTTTGCGTATTACTGTTAAATGTATAATATACAGGGTGTCCCAAAATAATCGTCAAATATTTCATGGGCAGGTAGACCGGACTGAATTGAGTCGAAAAGTCCTCTATTATTTTGCAATTTTCGCAATAGTTAATAGACTTTAATTACTAAAAGTCGCTGAATATTGATTTTCAATAATTTTTTACTCAAGTGCTATCAACTTTATAGAAAAATGGCAAGAGATAAAAATAGTTTATTTTCTTCTCATAAAGTTATAAGAATTTTTTCAGAATTTTTTAGTACCGCATGTTTTCTCATGTTAGTAAAAATAGTCAATGAGAAAATACAGTATTAAAAAATTGATAACAAATTCTGAAAAAATTCTTGGACTTTTATGAGAAGAAAATAAACAATTTTTGTCTGTTACAGTTTTTCTGTAAAGTTGATAGTATTTGAGTAAAAAATTATTGAAGACCAAGATATTAATTACTAAAAATTTTTGGCAATTTTTAGTAATTCATATCTTGTTAATTATTTCAAAAATTGCAAAATAGTAGAGGATTATTCGCCTCAGTTTAGTCCGTTCTGCTCATGAAACACTTGGCGATTATTTTGGGACACTCTGTATAGTGCGAAATGTATTGTCATAAGAGGCCTGTTCTTTTTAGCTAAACTTTTGCACCAGTTCATCTTTTTTCCTTTTCTATCCGGAAGGAAAGAAGACGAAGAAAGATGAACTGGTGCAAAAGTTTAGCCAAAAAGAACAGGCTTAAGGTTTGTTCGCGTCGCATACTCATGTTCCAACATACTCCTACCATAACTCCTAACTCTATCAAGCGCGTTGGAGTGAATAGGAGCTATGGTAGGAGCATATTGGAACATATTGGAGCATGCGACGCGAACAAACCCATATTATCGTTCTTATAACTACACATTGTAATTGTACTTCCACAATCTGCTTAGTTACAAACCAAGAAATTATTTTTATTTGCATATTGCAAATTTACAAACGCGTGGACGTTCACAACTATTGAGTCTCAAAATTACCCACTATTAATAATTGTAATTTTACACAAAAATTTTGTACTGTAGATAGCGCTTGAGACTAGAAAGTCCCTAAGCCCGTTCGTTGTGAATGGCGATCGATTTTAAAAAAGTAATGAAAATACATGATTTCTGATAGGTTGAAATTCTTATTCTCTGTTCTCTGTTCCCTGTTCCTTTTATTGTGCGGAGCCCCTTACTTTCTTAAGTAACGGCAGGGAATGGAAAGTTACTTTTTAAAAGTAACAAGTTATAGTTACTCGTTACCGAGCAGGAAAAGTAACAAGTTACCGTTACTAGTTACCGATTTTTAAAAGTAACTCGTTACAGTTACCGTTACTTGAGAAAGTAACTTTTCGTTTCTTTTCC